ACCTGCTGGTTGGCCTCAAGATGCAACTATTGGCCTTCACAGCCTACTAGTTTGCCTCAAGATCTACACACTGGACCCACTGGTGGGGCCTCTGACCCACTCATTGCCCTTAAGACTCCCATGTGGTCATTTTTTTTCTCACTTTCTGACCCACTTCTTGGCCTTCACAACTCAGGCATTGGCTCTACGATCCACTCGTTGGACCTCACGACCCGTTGTAATTACTATTATTTTTTGCTCCATAATGCTTTTGTTGGCTTTCATGGCCCACCTGTTGGCCCTCCCAGCCCACTCTTTCATTTCCCTTCACAATATTTGAGGTGAAGCCATGTTCTCCACGTCCTTCATTCTACCTTCCAGCCCTGGACATCTACACAAAGTCCCCACAGACCTCCCCAACCACCTCTGAGTGTTGATACACAGTCATCATCTCCAAAATCCTTACCCCTTGATCAATTTTTGATCTTTCTTCCTGGGCAGAAAATCTATTTTTTCCACTACACCACCCCTCTGGTCAACCCTTGCAGAGAATCACTTTGGTAGAGCACCAAAATTATTTCACTTGCTCATGGATAATGTCATTTTTAACTTTTTTTTTTTTTTTCCCTCAGGGAAACACCTTCCAGGCCACCCTCACCACCAACACCAACACATCCTTCATCATCCTCAACTACAAGGACATCCAGTGGACCACAGGGGTGGCAAGTGGTGGTGACCCCAAAACCGGCCTTGGAGGCACCCCGGCTCACGTAGGTGGGGCTGAAGGGAAATGGGATGAAGGGAATTGAGGGACAGGAGGGGAGGAGGTTGAGCTGTAAGTTTTCTATCAGAAATACTTGTTATCTTCCAAATATATGTCCTTATCTCCCAGAAATACCAGTATCCTTCCAAAAATACGTCATTTTCTCCAAGGAATACCAATTTTCTCTCAAATATATGACATTTTTTTCATAGAAATACCAGTTTTCTCCCAAATATACAACATTTACTCCATGAAATACCAGTTTTCTTGCAAAAAGATGGCATTTCTCCCAGAAATACCAGTTTTTTTTTCCCAAATATACAACATTTTCTATCAGAAATACCAGTTCTCTCCCAGATATACGACGCTTTGTCCCAGAAATACCAGTTTTCCCTCAAATTCATGACATTTTCTCCCAGATACACCAGTTTCTACCCTGAAATTAGAAGGCAACCCTACGACTTTTTTTTTTTAGAAAGGCAAAACCAGAGGCAGGATGTTGACCCTACAAATTATTTTGGGGTCACGGTGCCGCGGTTGGTGGTTGTCCTATAGGGTCAAGCCTTAAATCCCCCCACGTTGCCCTTCTTTGCAGGCTGGATTCAACAGCGGAGATGAAACCAACTACTACAACATCCCCGGCTCTCGCACCGAAGCCGTCATCAACATCACCAAAACCTCCAACGTCAACGTGCCAGGACGTTGGGTCTTCCAGGTGGATAATGAGGTGATTGGGGAAACCACCGAGAAGCCCCCCACTGACAAGAGGTGCTGGCTGTGAGTCGGATTTCGGAGGGGACAAAAAAAGAAAAAGGACAGAAAGCGAGGTGACACAAAAACGAAGGCGTGAAAAGTGGTTTTGGCTTCTCCCCCGTTTCTTGGTTTCTTCCTGCGGATCGGTCGTCACAGATCCCACTGACCCCAATCCCTACGGTCTCTCCTTCAAATGCGCTCAACAACCTCTGCCAGAGCAATAAAACTGCAGCTGAGACATCGTGGCTCCCGCGTCCCCTCCATTTCTCAGCTCTCTGGGTGCACTGAGGGATGTTTAGAATTTGTTCACACGAATTTCTGCCCTCTCACCCCCCTGAATTTATGGTTTTTTTTTTTTTTTTTTGGTGCTGTGTGCTGTTTCTGGTGTGTTTTCCATCCCTACTCTGCACGAATTCAAGATTTTGTGCACTCAGGGGGAATCGGGGGGTGAATTCTGATCC